CAGGACAGAAGTTTTTTACTTAGGCCAACAGTCATTGGAGATTTACACTAGCATGTGCAATACCCCTCAGGAAAGTCCATGTTCATGAAAACAATAACTGATATGGAATCTAATTCCCTTTTTAACCCCTCCTTTCTCCTGATCACAAGGCTACTAGATATAACTGTTTGCGATTACTTTCTAGAAAAAATGACTTCAATTTTCCTACAAAGGATACAATTAAGTCCTTATCGTTTTTATACAGAGAAGTAGATGGCTGCAGAAAGTCTGTCTGATGATGACAATAACAGCAGCCATTAGAGTATTTTATTATGTGACAGACGCAGTGCAAGTAGTTTATGTGCACTGCCTCATTTCATCTCCACAGTGATCCTGTCATGGATGCTAAAATTATCCCCATTATACAGAAGGGACAAATGCTGGTCCTAGAAAATAAGTAACTCGCCCAGGGACACATGACTGAACCAAAGTAAAGGGATTTGAAATAGAGATTAAAGAGTAGATGGAATTCTTAAATTCTGCCTTCTAACAAGGCAAGAACTAAAAAGAATTAATTAAAATCCTTTCTTGTAGCATACCCACTGACCTCAAGAACAGATCAGAACTGATAAGACAATATAACCTTCTGAACCGAGTCTCACAGGCCTGCACAGTAAAAACAATCAAATAAAATCTTGCAGCCAGGGATCTTGGAAGGCAAAGCTGGGTGTCACTACAGAATTCCCATAATTACTTGGAAGGAGACTACCTGGCTTATCCCAGGTTTTTTGTAATATGAATTCTCTATATACAGTATTCTAAGTTTCCATATTTTATCTGCATATGGACCACTGTTCTGTTCACAAAGGAATGTGTATTTGAGTGGTTGTTTTCCAGCTAAGATCATTAACGCCAATGTCCCAAATACACTACTTGGCAATCTAGAATATTGAGGTTTAGCACAAGTGGTAATGGAGAACTGAGAAACAGTATTAAAAATAAAGCAACTCACATCATTTAATAAGATCCTCCTTTATTAAGACATTTTCAAGGAAATTTTCAGTTCCTTTAATGAGATCCTTTTTAGGAATCTCTAAGTGCAGTACAAAGTTTATACTTTAAATTTCTCTCTACAGTAAGCAACGCTATTATACCAAAGCTTAATACTTTCTGTATGAAGATTTTCAAGGGACAGAGACCGCAAAGTCCTTCATTGAACATTTGTGAACACCCACAAGTGTATTTCACACAGAGAGAACAAGGGAGCTTTCTGGCTGTTTTCAATAAGAAGACAGTAAAGATGTATTTCCTATTCAAAACCACTTAAAATCTACTTCTCTTAAGACTAAACAAAAATACATATAAGAGGTTTTTGGTACGTAAACAGTTCCTTTAACTTCTTTCTGGTTGCAAGCTCTTGATCTATAAATCTTTCTATATGTAATGGTGCTCAAGATCAAACTTACTTTTCTAAAAGACCTACTACTCATAACTAAATTAAAACATCCACAAAGATGCAAACTTTTAAAAGAAAAATGCAAATAGAAAGCCCAGAAATCATCAATGCATGTTCATTCAGGTTCCCTCTGTCAGATTTCCAGGCCTAGTGACTCTGAGTTGAGAGCCAGAACAGCAGAGTACACGACTTCAGTTCCACTTCCTCATCTACCATTCTACATAAACAAATCTGGTTAAACATAACCTCACCCAGCCACAGCTGCCTGCTTTGTAAAATTGTGACTCTCCCTTTGATATACTGTAACAGAGAACTACATCAGACAATTCTTCCAAGCTCTTTATAGCTTAAAGATTTACGAAGCTGAGGATTTATCTCTTCCTACTCTTTGATTCCTAATACTTCATTGTTTTGGCTATTTGAGTCAAACAGCCTTTTCCTATTTTTAAAAACATAAAATAACACCCTTTCTCCCATTTGATATTTTCATAAGTCCCTCTAAAGACAGAACATGACTTTTTCCTTACTAAATCTCCTAAAGTTCCAGGTGAATATATCTATACACAAACACACACACACGTACACTGACCACTGAGCGATAACCTGAAGAAAAGGGGCCTCCGGAGACCTAAAAAACGCCAACATTGCCTAAATGCATTTGAATGAAATAAAAAACTTTAAATATGTTGGTCAGTTTGCAACCCATTCTCTATGGCCATTAAAAAAACAAGCCTGCAAGCCAACAAATGTAATAGCCCATTTTTCCAAATATAATTTTCTAAGCATACTTTGCCTTTTTAGACTAAATATTATCATTTTATTTTTCCTTCAAATTTATGACTTTACTTTGTTTCAATACTTATTGTTCATTAGATAGTAACAATTTTCCTATTTATAGATATCACTGCTACATAAACAAAACCTAATCACCTTTAGAAAAATGTATATAATCACTTGGAAGCAATTATTATCAAGCATGTAGAGCACTCAGAAAAGGGTTTTTGTTTTACTGAAACTAAAAGGCAAAGCTTTAATCTGTATTTTTGATTTTCTAAACTTAGTATCTCTCAACCTGCTTGTCATGTTCACTCTGTAGAAAAAGAAAAAAAAATTTGAACTACCCTCCTGTGTGGCAGGAGATATTGCAGCCTATATTGTGCTTCTACATTGAATAAGATTATTTTAAGCTTCATATGTTGTCATTTATATTATGGTCCCATTCATTTTATAAATACAGAACTATGATACCTAATTTAGAAATTATATAAACACTACTCAGATATTATCATATAGTCTCCAGGAATATATGATCACCCTCTTCTGTAAAAACCACCAAGAGGAAATATGGTGCAACTTACTAAAGTAAAATGGGCCTTGTGGCAAAGAAAACTCTTAAAGGGACCAATATACACAATGTTGAAATTGCCCCAAAATTGCAACTGTAATCCCTAAAATAATCACATTAAATAAGCAGAAACTACAAAAAAAATATATAAATGGCACCGATAAAAATAATAGCTCATTTGTATGAAAAAGACATTGCTAACTTAGGGTTGGAACTTGACAAGCTGTAACACGTTACCGTGGCTTCCGGCTTCCACTTCTGACATTGTTTCTAGGCTTGTCAGGTCTTTATGAAATAGTCGTCTTACAGTCCTACAGCCTCTTCCATCTTGCCACCTATATCCATCTTCACTTTCTTGACAGGAGTCTTTTCTTGGTCGGTTTATAACAGGAATTCTAGGTCCTTGTTTGAATTCTCTCCAACTCTCTGAATTACCAGCAAGTTCATCAGAGAGCCACCTTTTACTCTGATCTTTGTGGTTGTCATTTATCCAAGTGGGTTGACTGTAAATTGGATTTTTAAATGCATATGGATTGCTGGAAACAGCATACGGTCCTTTTCTAGGGGTATTACCATAGTTCCCTGGTGTTATTTTTTTCTTGGGAAGGCCTTTTTCCATTTTACTGCCATGGCCTTTAGCATAATCATCCATTATTAAATAATCTTGTTGAGGGTGACTCCTTCTGAAATCCTCATCATCTATAATCCCTCGGTCTTTAGCACGCTTCACAAAATAAGGTTTTGCTGCATCTCCCATGGTCTTTGACTTCAGTTTTCTTACTTTGCACCTGAAAGAAAGCATTTTTTTGGAAAAATAATCAAACTCTAATAAGATATCATATTAAGTGTACAAAATATCACACATGTATTGTACATGTGTGATATTGCTCACGAGGCGATAAGAAACTCCTTTTTCCCTTAATTTCCATCATATTCCAATAATCAGTGTATTACACTACACGTTAGAAGGCTTATGCCATTCTTCATGAAAATTAGTATTTATTATTTAACATGACAATTAAATTTGTGAATAAGTTTCCTAGTCTTGAGAACTGTAGTATAAAAAGTGTCACTTATACCAAGTTAGTAGGCTTTCACCTGTATTGTCAAAAGCACTTCTCATAAAAAAGCCCCCCAAAACCAACTTCATCCTAAACCTATACCGTTAGAAAACTCCCGAAACAGTCTTTTTAAAAGAGTTGTCAATTACTTTTAAGTGTTGTACAAAGCAACCGAATCTTTCTCTGAACGTAGTATACATCTCAGAACTCCACGTTTCCGCCCCTTCTCTGCACCCAGGGCACTCGGCTTACCTCACTACCACTATTCAGAACCACAGGCTTCGATCGCTTGGGCTACGGAGGATCTAGGCTGCCAACCAAGACTCTGCTTTAGTCAAAGGGGCTGGATTTCCGACCGAGCAACAACTCCAACTATCCTCCCACAAGTCCTCATTCTCCAACCCCAAACAAGTTTGGCTTTGTCACGAACTGCAATTTTCCCTCCTCCATACCCATCTGATCGCCCCACCGCCGATCGGTTTCAGTTTCTACCCTTTGGGACAGGAGGCGGAGAAAGAGGAAGCATCCCTGTAATCTTGGCCACGAAGCCACCGCTGGTACCAGGAAGCAGGAAGTGACCTACCTCCTCGATGGGTTCCGAGTTCCCCCCAGCTGGATAGGGGGCCCAGGCAGAATGCCTTCACCCAAATCCCTTAAGCCTCTGCAGGGTCTGACACAGGTGAAGATGCGGACTCGAACCCGACAGATCAGTCAGTCCCCTCTGGCCTGGGGGCTTCAGGGTCCTCGCAACTGGGGCAAGGAGGCCGGCAGGGGATGGAGCCAACGTAACTCCTGGGCGGGGCCCGCCCTCTAGTCTGGAAACTAGGGAATCTACCAGAGACCAAGCCCAGAGACGAGTCTGGAGAGGGACGCGGGGAGCAGACGCTTAAAACACTTACCACCTCCGCAGCGGTCCTCCGCCTCTTTCCGTCCCGGCTGGGATCCCACTCTGTGTTTTCCTTCGGCCCTACTTCCGGCGCTCAGCGCAGTCTCATTGTGCGCGATTGGGAGCCGCCGGTGCCCCCGCTGGAGAACTCCGCCACTCACGCCGGAAACGCGCGCCCCTCCCGAAGGGCCGCCCGCCGCCCCGCCCCTCCTCCCCAGCGCCCCGCCCACTTCCGCCGGGGCGGCTGTGAGCTAACGCTTCAGAGGTGTAAGCTCCAGTTTGGCGGGGATAATCCGTTCCTTGTTCTTCCTTTCTCCGAACTGTCCTCACTTAGGTCTCTTCTCTTTCCTGGGCTGTGATAGCAGTGGGGAGGCGTTGGGAGAAAATATCTGGTTGTCGGAGAGAGACGGGGAGCCCCCAGCACGGGCGTAGCCGCCTGCCGGTGTAGGCTCAGAAGCTCGGCTTGACCCTGGATGCCCCAGGTTGCTTCCAGGGCAAGTGCAGCCCGGTTCTGAGGCCTCGTGGCGCTCTTGCTATTTTTCTGGTAATTATGAGTGTTTTAACGTCTCAGGGAGATCTTAGTTACCTGTCCTGTAGAAATGCCAGCGTTTAAATATCCGCTATTCACCCAGCTTTCACTATGGTCTTGGGAAATGCTTTGCTTTTTTTTCCGATTGTGTACGTATTAGTTTTACTTAAAGAAAAACAAAGCAAAAGGGTGTTTTGAAGAGTACGTGTATTCTAAAAGGATGATCGGGAGATTTCGTACTCGAATTTTCGAACGAAGATTGCACACCTGGAACTAGCAAACAGGCCGGAGTGTTGAGAAAAATGACAGTTTCTATTTCTCTGCTTTAAACATTTAAATTTAAATTCAGGAGATTTTGTGAGGCCTTGGTCTTAGAATAATTATGAACACATGTACTGGCCACTGCCAGGCACTGGTCTGGGGGGCTTTATAAATATTAAATCATTTTCCTCAAAATAGGTCCACTAGGAAAATATTATCACCATTTAACGTGGGGAAATAGCATTTATTGTGAAGTAAATGGCACCGTTGGAACCAAAACCCTAAGGAGGCAAAGTCTGTTTTAAAATAACGTTTGTGTTGAAGGTGTTTTAAAAACGTACAACTTTTGTATAATGCCATAGCTAGATACTCTGGTTCTGAAAATCCATAGGACTCAAGCCAATAATCTGTTTGACAGGCAGGCAATGGTCTTGAAGAGTCCAGAGTGTGGTGAACATGATTGCATTGTGGAACAGTAAGTAGCTTTCCCACACCCAGTGGAATAATTTTTTTTAAAGATCTTAGTTTTCAGAGAGAGGGGATGGGAGGGAAAAAGAGAGGTGGGACAGCAGTGATGGCCTCTTGCACTGGTGACCTGGCCCACAACAGTCCAGGCATGTGCCCTGACTGGAAATCCAACAGGCTGTCTATCTAGGGCTTTGGAATCCATTTGCAGACTGGTGTCCAACCCACTAAGACACACCAGTGAGAGCCAGTGGAGTAATTCTTGTGCACAAAAACTGGTTTAGGAAAAGTTCTAGAGGAGCAGAAGAAGATACATCTTTTTAAGGATTTAAAATATTTGTACTTGCATTTTCTTTAATGTGTTTCTCCGAACCTAACTTCTAAATTTGTTTTTAAGGTTGCTAAAAAGAAATACAGACCCAAAATGGAGTCCCCACCAAGACTTAATACTTTATATGCTTAGTCTGTTAGTCAGATAAAACCTAACCTATTATAGTTTCAGCCTTTCCCAAGAGGGGAATTTTAATCTAATCAATTTGAGATTTCCTGATCAACTCTTGTGAGGTGATCTGCCTAGTAACACCCCCCCTGCGTTTTCCTAAGGGAAGGTGACCTTGCCTTAAATAATCCACTCTTTTACCTTTATTGCCCCACCTTCTTTCTGCCAAAAACTCCCATTTTGTACAACTCCTTTCAGTATCCTTCCAGTTGCTAGATGGGATGTTGCCTGATAATGAATCAATAAAACCAATTAGATATTCAGATTTACTCAGTTGAATTTTGTTCTTTAACAAGATTTACCCTGAGGATAAATGATGCTCTCTAAAACATATATTATTAATCAATATTGATAGTTAATATACCTTTCTCCATATTATATATTGCAGTGGCAATTTAAATTGGTCATGGAACCCTTAAAATCCAGTTGAAAAGTTTGGTTTGATTTTCTGTTGTCATTATAGGAGGGACTAGTGAGTTTCTCAGAATCTTTGTGGTGATTGTTTGTTCATCTACACATATTTCCAATAACTTGAAGCAAAAAATTGGGGGCTTTTTGGTTCAGAGGACATTAATACTGCTCCATACGTTACAATGAGTCTCCCTCTTGAACCAGAAGCTTCATATTGTGATACCTGTTCACAAGCTAACCTTGAACAAACTCAGTGCCAGTGTTATTTTTCCTTTAGGGCTGTGAGGTCAAAAGCACAAGAGTTGTGTTCATAGCTTTGTCAGACAATTTTTTCCCTTAGTGATTTTCACCCACCTTATTAGCTAATTATATTGACTCCCTCTTCAATTATGTCCAGAAGCCAATGACCCCTCACCACTTCCACTGCTCCCAACCTGATGTTAGTCATCACTGTGGCCTCACTGCATTGCTGCAGTCATCAGCTTTTATCTTTTTTCTCCCCATCTATCCGCAACACTGTAGCCAAAAAACTTGCGTTAAAATCTGAGCCAGGTTATTGTTAATGGAAAGGGACCTTGCCCTGAGCAAGTTGGTAGTTTGTGGTTTCTCTTTGTGTAGGAAAGATTTCACAACAAGAGTCCATGTGAGTTTTAGAGGAAATTTATTAGAACTGGGGGACTCCCGCCAAGATGGAGGCATAGGTGGAATGCCTGTGCCTTCTTGCACAACCAAGTATAAAAACAGTAAAGTTTTAGCAACAAAAACACAGCCAAACCACAGAAAATTGAACTATATGGAAGTCTGACAACAACGAACCCTTCGGCCAAACCAGTAAGGGGCAGAGCCAGCAGCAAAGCGGGGTTGGGCAGGAAAGATCCACCGGACCAACCCTGGTGCATGATCCAGGTGCACCAGCAGTCATGGGCAGATCCCAGGTGCAGAGAAGTGGGCAGACCCACTGAGGGCACAAGGCGGGGGACCCACTGAGGGCTGATCATGGTCACACATTCCCACGCAGATAAACCGGTGAAGGAGCCAGCAGTGAGATGGACCGTGCAGGCCCCAGTGGTGGGAAGCAGCAGAGGGAACAGCCATTGTCCCTTTCTGACCCTGCCCCCACATATAGCGTCATAAACCAGCAACATGGGTGGCCCTGCCCTGGTGAACAACTAAGGCTCCGCTCCTCATACCTAACAGGCATGAACAGATCAGAACTTGGCTCAAGAACAACTCAGAGCCCCAGAGCCGATAAATCTAAGTGATGAAGAAATAGCCAAACTTTCAGATGCACAGTTCAAAACACTGGTGATCAGGATGCTCACAGAACTGGTTGATTTTAGTCACAAATTAGAGGAACATATGAAGGCTAAACTAATTGAAATGAATGGTAATGCACAGGAAACCAATAGTAATGGAAAGGAAACTGGGACTCAAATCAATGGAGTGGACCAGAAGAAAGCAAGTAATGGCCAAACAGAAAAGAGTCAAGAAGCAAGAATTCAAAGAAATGAGGAGAGTCTTAGGAGCCTTCAGGACATCTTTAAACGCTCCAACATCCGAATTATAGGGGTACCAGAAGGGGAAGAGGAACAGTCACGAGTGGAAATCTTATTTGAACAAATAATAAAAGAGAACTTCCCCATTCTGGCAAAGGAAATAGACTTCCAGGAAATCGAGGAAGCTCAGAGAGTCCCAAAGAAGTTGGACCCAAGAAGGAACACACCAAGGCACATCATCATTACATTAGCCAAGATTAAAATGAAGGAGAAAATTCTAGAAGCAGCAAGAGGTAAGGGGATAGTCACCTACAAAGGAGTTCCCATCAGACTGTCAGCTGATTTCTCAAAAGAGACCTTACAGGCAAGAAGGGGCTGGAAAGAAGTATTCCAACTCATGAAAGGCAAGGACCTACATCCAAGTTTACTCTACCCAGCAAAGCTTTCATTTAGAATGGAAGGACAGATAAAGTGCTTCTCAGAGAAGATCAAGGAGTTCATCATCACCAAGCCCTTATTATATGAAATGTTAAAGGGACTTACCTAAGAAAAAGAAGATATAAAAGATGAACAGTGAAAGGACAGCAAACTCACAGTTATTGAGAACCACACCTAAAACAAAAGCAAACTAAGAGGACAGCTAGATCAGGAGCAGAACCATAGAAATGAAGATCACATTGAGGGTTAGCAACAGGGGAGTGGGAGGAGGAGAAGAGGGGAGAAGGTACAGAAAATAAGTAGCATAGATGGTAGGTAGAAAATAGATAGGGGGAGGGCAAAAATAGGGGAAATATAGAATCTAAAGAACTTGAGACATGTGGTCATAAACTAAAGGGGGATGGTGGGGGAGGGGGTGTGCAGGGTGGAGGGGAATGAAGGGGGAAATAGAACAGCGGTAATGGCATAATCAATAAAATATATTTTAAAAAAAGAACTGGAGACAGTGAAATGAGGAATGGCTTGATACTAGAAGCAACGGGACAGCCTGAACAGAGCTGCCTTGGCTCACTAAGAAGTCAGAGAAAAGGGGGCCTTGGGAACAGGGGCAGGGGGTTAGCCTGGGATGAGCTGCTGCTTCCTATTGCTCCCTGGTTATAAGCCTTGTGGAGTCCCTTAGAATTTAGGAGATGCATGCCTGTAGGGGAAGAAAAGGGGGAGAGGGGAGGGAAAGTCAAAGTCCTATTCCTGTGAAGGAGAGCTCAGGTTGGAATTTTGATGTTAGGATTTTTAAAGGCTGGAGTTTAGGGGAGGTCTTTGGGGGAGGGTCTCAACAGAACATTCATTAGTTTTATCCTGATGTGCCAAAAGGAGATTTAGTCCCATAACTGTATCTGTCCTTAGGTGTGGTTGGCAAGTTGCACTAATTGGATTTATGTGCTTTATCTCCCTGAGTAGGGTGTTTAAAAACTGGGGGAATGATAGGGGAACTCAAGAGTTAAAGATCTTAGCCTCACCTTGGCTGGTGTGGCTCAGTGGATTGAGTGCTGGCTTTTGAACTGAAAGGTCAAAGAGCATACCTGGTTGCAGGCCAGGTCCCCAGTTGGAAACTTGTGAGAGGCAACCAATAAATGTATTACACATTTATGTTTCTCTTCCTCTCTTTCTTCCTCCCTTCCCTTCTCTTTAAAAATAAATAAATAAAATATTTTTAAAAGACTTTAGTCTTAGTCGATAGGCTTAAGTGATTAGTACATGCAGAAAGCTGTTATTCCAAAATTATGTAGCTTTTGAATAAAGGCTTCTCTCCTTTTTCACCAAACCTCTGCCTTCAGAATTTTCCCTAGAGGGTAGCAGCAGGCACCAGGACCCCACTTGCTGTTCAGTAACAGCAATGGCAACCCAGATGGGACTGTGGGATGTCCCAATGTCTGGGAGTTTCTCTGTATATCTGCTTGAGGCATTGGCTGCCTAAAAACACCTGGGAGGTGGAAGGAAACAAACCTGGGAAGGGGACAGACTCTAAAGAGGGGGGAGGATCACCCAATTTGGGGGTCCATGAACCGGGGTCTGGGTGAGGACTGGTTGAATTTTGGGACCCATTGCAAGATCGGTTGCTAGAAGGCTTGGTTGTGAGCACTCATGTGGAATAATAAATTTCCCTTCTATGTTCCCAGTTTACCTGCATCTTTCTGGTCACAGCTTTAGGCCTGTATGTTTGAGCCATAGGACTGTTCTGTGTTGGCTCCTGGAGGGAGCCTACCAGGTCGAATTTTAGTGGACTGGGTTGTGTACAACCATGATCCAATGTCTAAGGAGGAATTGGATCTTTACTGTAATACTATGTAGCCTACATATACTTTAGACTTGGTTGTTGGGGGAGGGAATGGCCACTAAATTGTTTCCTAAATTACTGTACCATCATGCAATTGGATCTGTATTGCCAACGGTGAGACAATGGAATGAAATCTGCTATTTCAAGGGATGTATATTATTACTTAACAGGGTTTCACCAGGGTCAGAAAACCTTTTGATGGTGCAGAGAAGCGAAGTGGCCTCAAAACCCCTGCCTGATAGTAAGACACAGCAAGAAAAGGAAAATGAAATAAATCTCATTAATGCCCTGAACCCAGGGGACAGAAGATTAGTAGCAGGAAGACCTCCCCA